GAGGAGGAGGAGGAGGAGGAGGAGGAGGAGGAGGAGGAGGAGGAGGGAGGAGGGGGGAGGAGGGGGGAGGAGAGGGGACGAGGAGGAGGAGGAGGAGGAGGAGGAGGAGGAGGAGGAGGAGGAGGAGGAGGAGGGTTTCTTGTGGACTGGCCTCCGCGGTATTCCGACGTGCTCCGAGAGGGCGGCGAGACACCCCGCAGGTCCGAGAGGCGCCCTCGAGGGCCGAAGCCAGCACCGGAGAGGGCCCAGGAAGCCACCCCGAGCAGGGCCCGAGGCGCTGCCAGGGCGGGCCGCTGGACGGCTCGAGCGTTGAGTCGGGCGCGCCCCCCTTCAGGAGGAATGCTCAAACATATATATATATAGAGAGAGAGAGAGAGAGAGAGAGAAACAAAAAATAGAAAATGGAAAAATCTGGAGACCATTTTTCGATTGCTTGTGGGTAACTGCGAGCATGTTCTGCATACGTGGCATATTTTCCTCCCACGAGCTACCTGCAGGAGGACGTGCCCGACCTAATTCAAGCGCGAGCATCCCCGCGGCGAGCCCGAGCTCCGTTCGCTTCTCCATCGAAGCCCTGCCCGGATCTGGGCTGGTTTGGGCTCTGTTTGTCGGGGGTGGACAGAACCTTCACCCTGACACGTCGATTAGTGAATTGTCCGTTTCCGGTTCTCGAGAGGGCGCCGCGGTCGTCATTTTCCAGGCTTGCGCCCGCCAGGTTTAGGTCCGAGGTCGTTTTCACTCAACCACGTTGTACTAAAGGGGGTTCTGTCCATCCCCGAGTTTGGGGGCCTGGGTTGGGCCCAGAATCGGTCAAGATTAATACCGAGAGTTGCCAAACCGTTGGCGAAATGCACAGGTTAGGAAATGGCCCAGGCGAGGCCGACTGTCGGCTGGAAGATGCGTCTGGGCGACCCCCGGCGAGGCGAAAATCATCAAACAGATGAGTTTTGCTATATTCTAGTGGCCTCTGGCCAGTGCCGCCGATCCGGGGCGCTCCCGATGGTGCTCGGGTTCGCTTGGAGGCCTACGGGGCCGTCTTGTGGCCCTCTCGGGGCCGTCGTAGGAGGAGGTCTCTTGAGGAGGTCTTTGAGCCTCTTGGGAGGCTTCTTGGAAGCCTTTTTCCCGGAAAGGGCGTAGGCCCAGGGTTCTCTTTTAGTATGTAAGCATGTCCCCGGTGCCCAACTTGAAGGAGGCCGGCGGATTCTTTCCCTGATAAATATCGAGGTCGAAGGAGGCCGGCGGATTAAAATTTGAGGATGTCTCAGGCGAAACGCTTGTTTTTGAAATCCCGATCGATAAATCACAGGGTGCGGGACACCTCAGCACGACCACACCCCCAGCATGACCACACCCCAGCACGACCACGCCCAGCACGACCACGCCCCAGCACGACCACACCCCACGACCACACCCCAGCACGACCACACCCCAGCACGACCACACCCCAGCACGACCACACCCCAGCACCAGCACGACCACACCCCAGCACGACCCGATCGATAAATCACAGGGTGCGGACCACCCCAGCACGACCACACCCCAGCACGACCCCACCCCAGCACGACCCCACCCCAGCACGACCACGCCCCAGCACGACCACACCCCAGCACGACCACACCCCAGCACGACCACACCCCAGCACGACCCCACCCCAGCACGACCCCACCCTAGCACGACCACACCCCAGCACGACCACACCCCAGAACGACCACACCCCAGCACGACCCCACCCAAGCACGACCCCACCCCAGCACGACCACACCCCAGCACGACCACACCCCAGCAGGACCCCACCCCAGCACGACCCCACCCCAGCAAGACCACACCCCAGCACGACCACACCCCAGCACGACCTCACCACAGCACGACCACACCCCAGCACGACCACGCCCCAGCACGACCACGCCCCAGCACGACCACGCCCCAGCACGACCACCCCCCAGCACGACCACCCCCCAGCACGACCACCCCCCAGCACGACCACCCCCAGCACGACCACACCCCAGCACGACCACTCCCCAGCACGACCACACCGCCTTGGTTGAGTGGTTGCCTGTCGTCGTGGAATGTTTCGTGGGGTGTCTCGTGGAATGTTTCGCGGGGTGTCTCGTGGAATGTTTCGTGAGGTGTCTCGCGGAATGTTTCGTGAGGTGTCTCGTGGGATGTTTCGTGAGGTGTCTCGTGGGATGTTTCGTGAGGTGTTGCCCAGTTGGGTATCGTGAAAACGTGTCCATGCTCCACATGTCTATATCCCTTTCCGGGTTCGTGGGTCCATCATGTTGGCTGTCCTAGGGCGTTCCTGGCCCGTCGGAAGCCGTCTCGGGCGCCTCGCTGTGCCGTCTGGGAGCACTCTGTGGACGCTTCAGGGCCGTCTTGGAGGCTATCTTGGCCGTCTTGGGGGCCTATGGGGCCGCCTCGGGACCCTCTCGGGGAGCATCTTGGGCCGTCACAGGGCCATCTTGGAGGCCTTTGGGGCGATCTTGGGGGCCTCTGGGGCCGTCGGAAGGCCGAAAAGAATGAAGCGCCCCAATCCTTCAAGAGCATTTGAAGGATTAATGATTTGGGCCTCGAGGGCCTCCTGGGCCGTCTTGGATGCATCTTGAGCCGTCTGGGAAATGTCTGGCGACCATCTTGGGCTCTCTGGCGCACGGGGTGGAAATTTGGCGGATTTCTACAGGCCTCGGACAAAAAATATCGAACACTCATGCCACATTCATCTGTCAACGCCTCCCTTCCCCCCCCATGTTCAAAGTTGGCAGTGGGTCTGATGAGTTGCACCTCGACCGCAGTTTCCCAGCGCGTGCCAACTTTGAGTTTAGGGGGCAGGGGGGGTGTTTACTGATTGTTTCCCTCTACCGTACGCGTCCCAGCCCCGCCCAGAAAACGGATCACAGGCGCACCCCGCCCCTCCACTCCTTCGCCGGCAGAGCCACCCCGCCTCCCCTCCCCCAGCAGAGCTGAAGCTCAGGCTGTCGCAGGCCTAGAGGTTGACACCAACACCAATATCGGTGGTGTTCCTCCACCGAGGGAAGAGGATCCCGATCTCGGTGATGGTGGTAATATTCTGGCTTCCAAAGTGACCGAAATATTAACACCAACACCGAAATCGAGGATCATCTTCCCCCTGTGGAGGCAACCCCCTGTGTTGGTGTTGGTGCCAATTTCCGGGCCTCCCAGGCTGTGGGCTGCAGCTCAGGCTTTTTTGAAACTCACACGCCGGACCGGCAGATTTTTGAATTTCCTAGTTCGTGTGCGCAGTTGGGCTCCAAAGGCGCCGAGGGCCCCAGGAGCTGGCTGTGGAGGCCCAGAAGAGGCTCCGAAGGGGCCGAAATGGAGCCCAAATGCGCCCAGAAAGCGTCGCCAGAAGGATTTGGAAATCGAGCTCGTTCTGGAAGTCGTCTTGAACGGGCTGGTTCAAGCGGCTTACCCCATTCCGCCGACCCTTAGCGGAGTAGAGACGTCCAGCTTTCGGTAGGCTATGTTGGAGCTGGAGTGGCTGGTTAGTTTTCGTTTCACGCCCGCGAGGGTGGAGAGGAGGAGGAGGAGGAGGAGGAGGAGGAGGAGGAGGAGAAGGAGGAGGAGGTGGAGAGCGAGGAGGAGGAGGAGGAGGAGGAGGAGGAGGAGGAGGAGCGGAGGTGGAAAGGAGGAGGGCGGAGGGAGGAAGGAAGGAAGGAATTAGGGGGTGCAAGGGGGGCTGTCTGGGGTTTGTCGCGCAGCTGCTCAACGGCTTCTGGGAGGCACCAGTCGACAGTGCTGCAGACCCCAAGAAAAGTCTTTATCAATTAGCGGCGTCCAGGCAGGGAATCGGGGTTGCTCCTCCGTGCGCCGCTGGCAGGTTCCCGAACATGTGCGTTTCGCTGGAGACTTTCCACAACATGGAGATGTGAGGCGTTCCAGAAAGGGCCTTGCCTTCGAGGATCGAAGGAGTTGTTGCCATCTCTCCCTCGGCGGAAAGCAGCGGAAGTAAAACGAGGGCGGCTCCGCCAGCAGAAGCTGGCGGAAGGCCGGCGGAAAGCGGCGGAAGTAAAGCATGCCCCCTCGAAGAGATGGCAATGCTTTTGGATTTTGGGCTTCTGAAACTATTCAGATGCGCTTCGCCTCAGACTTTCTCATAACATGGAGCTGTGTTGGATTATCTCTTTATCGTGCAACTGTGTTTAGTACTCAAGATTGAGCTCTTGCTGCAGACATCCTCAGAAATTGTTGACATCGCTTGTGAAATCTGTGAGTGTACCCATGACGACCTGACAATCAAGTTCATTGAGAACCAGTTGTTCCTCAACACGTTTGTTCAATATACGGTTCGCTCGAAGCATCCTCAAACACTGATGTCGCACGTGTATTCGAACGTAGTTTATAACAAATAATGGGTAACCGATGCATTTTCCAATGCTATGGGGGTTCACTTGAGTTCGGAAAGCTCCAAACCAGTATAGCAGCTGTTGCTATTAGGCATCGGATGTGCATCTGTCGGGGAGGGGGTGGAAGGAAAAGCGTCACTCATGATGTACGTATATCCAGCAGCAGAACTCCGCACCACTGGCGGACACCCACTTCAGCCACCCAACCAGGGACTTCTTGTGAGGCCACTTCGGCCCCTGACCTAAACTGACGTGCAGAGCAAAGCCGCTTACTCGATGGCCTGTAGCGTGCTGTCCGACCGCGCACAGCGCTTAACGTACAGTCCAGCCTTGCTACAATCAAGTTATCCTGGTGGGGGTATGTATCTCTTGTGGGAATCGCCGTGGATCGAGACCGCGAGGCCCTGGGAGGTTGAGATGCCGACCGGCAAGAGCTACGGCGGCTCGGTGCCTGAAGTATTGCAACCCTGCCCTGCCGAGGCAAAGCAAGGGCTTGGCGTTACCAGAGGTTGTGCCTCTTTCCTCTCATTCGTCCTCGTCCTCCCTCTTCAATCTCCTCCTCATCACAACGCTTCGCGGGTCTTCTGGGGATAATTATGTACCGCCTACCCTGCGAACGTGTTTCTCTGCTCAGCTGAGGTGGATTGCGAGATGCTTGCAGATATCTCCAGGGACTTCGTGGAGGAGTGGGAGGACGCGAGCGTACTCGAGAACGCACTCAGGGAGGTCATGGAGCTCGCCAAGAAGAACTGTTCAGACCCAGTCTTAATGGAGACCTCAGTAGTGGAGCAGCTTTGCGATCGGAAGAAGAAGGCTTGGCGAGTAGACTGACTGCGTTCAAAACTGTCAGCCTCTCCCTCCTCACATTTGTACTGCTTCTCCTCAGCATTGTCATTGCCTGCGCTGAGATGTTCCTTCTCCTCCTCCTCCTCCTCCTCCTCCTCCTCCTCCTCTGCCTCATCATCCCTGCTCCCTCTGGTCTCCTTGTTGATATATGTGCTGACCTCCGTTGTGACTTGCGGCTCGTGCTGCTCTGCGCTGTAGCACAGCGGGCAGTGTACCGCCGTTAACAGCGCAAGATGTCAGCAGTATCTTTCATGCACCGCGTGCGAATCTGGCACAGGGAAGGAGGAGTACAGAAGGGAAGGACAGACGGGAAGGTAATGAGGAGGCAGAGGAAGAGGAGCACGAGCAGGAACACGAGGATAACGCGGAGAAGAGGAGGAGGAGGAGCGTGGATGAGATGAACCGAGGAGGGAGTAGAAATGTGGCACGAGGCAGGAGGGATGCTCTCTTCCCTCTTCCACCTCTTCCTCCACGACATCATTTTTTGATTCCAGCTTCTCGCGCTACGGAGCATGCGAGAGGGAGAGAGAGGAGGAGGAGGAGGACGAGCAGGAGGAGGAGGAGAAGGAGGAGGAGGAGGAAGAGGAGGAGAAGGAGGAGGAGGAGGAGGAGGAAGAGAGAGTGAGAGAGAGAGAGAGACAAACGAAAGAGAGGGAGAGAAAAAGCGAAAGCGAAAGAGAGAGAGAGAGAGAGAGAGAGATAAAGAGTCAGAACAACAGCGGGGCGCGAGACGCCAGCGGGACGCAAGGGGATGGCACCAAAGGATGCTCTTCAGAGAGGGCACCGGTTTCGCGCCATCCAGGCTTTGGTATCTCGTCCCGGGCGAAAGCTGGCGGACAGAGCGGCTCCATTCGGAGGTCAGCGCGGGTTTCTCGGATCCGCGCTGCGGCCCCCTGGCGGCGCCTCCGGCGCCGCCCCTGGCGCGCTCCGCGCGCCAGGGAGGGGGTCCAGCGCGGATCCAAGAAATCCGCGCGGACCTCGGAGTTTTTATGTTTATGCCATTTTTCGTTCCCATAGACATGGACACGGGAAGGATGGTGGCGAAGATCGGCAGCAGTTCCTGTCCGTTGTTGAGAAGGACTCATGGTCGGTGTCGCCGCGGGCGTGGTCCATTCGAGGCAAAGAGCGCCTGCCCAACAGCAGGTGCTGCCAGTTTGGGTCAATATTTCCTCTGGGCTTCAGATTATGCTTTCAGTACCTGTCCATACTGGGTGTGTGAATTCAGGGCCCAAGGCGATTACAGTTTCGCCCCTCGCGCGGCCCTGCGAAACGCCGGGCTTTGCCATGGCGTCTTTCAGCATGATCCAGTTGTTTCCGAGGATCCCCTCGCCGGGCAGCAAGACGTCAAAGAAGCCGAGGCAGCGGGGAGCACTTGGTGCATTTGTATTGGCGATGTTGCTGGCAGTGCTCGCCGTGTTATCTCGAAAGGCAGCGAACCATGATCTCAGCACCCCTGGTGGTGGTTCTTCTGCCAGAGTCCTGATAATGACCAGCGCAACAGGGGGTGGGCATGGAGCTGCCGCAGCGGCGATCAGACATGGTCTCGAAGCCCTCGACCCAAGCCTGGGCAACTTTGACGTGAGGGTGCAGGACATGTTTGCTGACCATTGCCCTTGGCCTTTGAGCGAGTTCCCTGGCACGTACAAGTTTCTTATGAAGAACCCTTGGATGTGGCGCGCAGTCTACTACGGAAGCCAGTACGGTACCGCGCAGCTGATGAACGCCATTACTTTCATCGTGGAGCCTTTTGTCCATCAGGAGATATTGGACCGCGAGCCGGATGTTATCGTGTCGGTGCATCCGATGATGCAGCATGTGCCGATCAAGATGCTCAACAAAGCGGGCCGCCCACCTTGCCAGCCAGAGGACGTGGACAGCAGCGTCGAACAGGACGTGCAGCCCTGCACGCCGTTCGTGACCGTTGTGACCGACACTGAGACAGGCTCCAATCTGTGGTTCCACCCGGGCGTCACGCGCGCTATCGTGCCCGATGAGAAGCTCGCCCGCCGCGCCAAGCAGCACGGTCTGAGGGACGCGCAGCTCCGGCAGGCGAGCGCTTTGCTGGTCTCAGCGCAGTTCAGTGTGGCCGCCCGCCTGGACCGCCGCCGAGTGCGCGAGGAGCTCGGTCTGTGCTTGGACTGCCCCGTGCTGCTCCTCATGGGTGGCGGCGACGGCACCGGCAACATGGACCAGTATGCGTGGGCTGTCCATAGGTCAGAAAGACAATTATCGAATCGGGGGGATGGGGTCGGGAGAAATGATCAGCTCGTCCGTATCATCGCGTAGGCTAGCTGTGCTTATGAAACAGTCGTTCCTCGAAGCTTCCCAACCCCTTCCTCCCAACACGATACCTGTTTTTGTCGATAGGGAGCTTGCGATGTCTACAGATACGCAGCTTGTCGTGGTGTGCGGCCGAAACAGGGAGCTTCGCTCGCGTCTGGGCCAGCGGCTGAACGGCAACCACGTGAGCGGCCGCCGGCAGGCCCGCATCCTGGGCTTCCGAAGAGACTTGGCGCTATGGATGCGAGCCTCGGACCTGCTCTTGACAAAGGCTCGGAGGAGGAAACCATACCCACACCGCTACCCTTCCCTCGTTTCGAGGAGGAAAACGTATCCCCACTGCTGCCCTCCCCTAGTCTTCCTCTTTTTTGGGCCTCCTGGGAGGCCCTCGTCGCCACCGCTGGATGCGGCTCGAGATTCTGGTCAGAACGCACCCCAGGAGAGGTCTAGGGAGCGGCGGTATGGGAACATCTTCGTTTCCACAGGCTGGGCCGTCTACCATCGCGGAGGCCCTCACAGTCGGCTTGCCGGTGCTGCTCTACGGCTACCTGCCTGGGCAGGAGCGTGGGAACGTCGACCTCGTGGTGCGCAATCGGGTTGGCGCTTACACGCCAGGTGCCCGCAACGCGGCGTGGACGGCGAAGGCGCTGCTGTTGGAGCGCAACGGCACGACCCTGCAGGAGATGCGGGAGAGGGTCCAAGGCCTGTCTTATGGCACGTCCGCCACCGACCTGGTCGTGGGAGAGGTCGCCCGCCTCGCGGCGTTCTCGAAGGGGCTTCGTGATGCCCGCCTTTGACGCGGTGGGCAGCACGATCGGCTTCGTTGTATTTGGCAGTACGTGGCTTTGGAGCCCGCGCGAGTGCGCTCTTGACTTCTGCAGGCTGCGCTCCTGCACGTTTAGATTATCGGCCCCCACTGCTGCTGAAGAAGCACGCGCAGAGGGTTTTTCAGCCGCTCTCGCACGGAGTGTGCAGCCGCCATCGCACGCAGCAGCCGGGTATCTGCAGTGAGGGCGGCAGACGCTGGGAGCCAGGACGGAGAGAGGGAGAGAGAGGGATAGAGAGACCCTGGTGCGTAGGTTGCCGACGATTGTGGCTAGTGTTGCATGAATGTCCTGCACTCTTGCCCTGACCGGCGAGAGAGAGATTCGTTTCAAGGCCAGCCCGGCGTGCTAATTAGGGCGATGCGTCCGTGGTGCTTTCTCGTTTGGCCGCGTTCCAGCAGCAGCCAGAGCGGACCGCAGAGAAGCGGTCGCCGAGCGTGACGCTGCGCCCAGTTGCCGAGAGGCAATCGTCGGCGCGTCTTTTTGCCGTGTGGCAGTTGTTGGCCCCTAGCAGGGTGAGAGCGAGGTAGAACCGGGGCGAGCGGGCAATCTCCGGCGAATGGCGGGAGGCCCTACGCTCAAGCTGTCCCCCGCGAGCTTGCTGGGGCATGTGCGTAACACATCTTCCCTCTCCATCCTTCCCCTCTCCACCCAGTCTTGTCCATTGCCCATTCCCCCCTCTTGTGCTTCATTCCACTGCTACCCCTCATAGAAGCGTACACCTTCCGAGGCTACGAACGTGGAGTGCCAACATGCACGCTCTTTCAGCACAGTCGGGGGCGCATCACGAAGGGGCGCTTGGGGGTGGGCCCTGTTTGCGGGCGCGCTGCATGAGTTCTTTGGGTTTCTGTCTGCGCCCAGGCTTGTTCACCCCTGGCAACGTTCGCCCAGGAGCTGCACCTCTCTTCCCCAGCTCAAGAGCTCCATCTCCGACGGTCGGGGTTCCGAGGTGCCGCGCGCGAGCTGGTCCGGCGCGTGCCACCCGTAGCATCTGTGCAGCTCTGGGCTTCGCGAGATGCCGCCCGAGAGGTGGCTCGGCCCGTCTCTCCGAATGCATCGTCGCAAAGCTGTGCTCCGAGGAGCTGTGCGCAAAGTGGCCCGGCCTGTTTCGCCCGAGACACCCTCGCAGTTCGGGGCTCCGACATGCTGCGCGCGGAGTGGTCCGTCCCGTTTCGCCCGTGGCATTCTCGAAGTCTCGGGTTCCGAGGGGGGCAGAGGGGAGGAGGTGGGAGGGGTCAGACCCCAGCGAGCCATCGGATTGCACTTCTGTTGCCCAGCTGTGTGTTGGGAGGGGTCTGGGCACCCCTGGCACGACGGAGGAGGTTTCCTGCGCCGAGGCGCGAGCACGGCTCCTCATCAGTTTGCCAGGACGTTTCGGGGGGGAGCGTCATCTGTAATTATATGACGATGTATATGGCAGTGTGTGAGAGACGTCTTCAGCGAGGTCGCGGTGAACAGGCAGGAGGCAGGATAGGGGAGGAAAAAGGAAGACGGCATCCAGAGTGCGGAGGCATCCCTGGTATTTCTGATGAGGCGGAGGAAGCGGAGGAAGCGGAGGAGAGGAGGGACGAGGAGGAGTACGAGGGAGGAAGAGGAGAAGGAGGAGGAGGACGAGGAAGAAAGGACGGGGAGGACGAGAAGGAGGAATGGGAGGAGGAGCAATGCGAGGAGGATTCTGAGTTCGGCGCGCCACGAGACCAGCGCGTCTCACGAAAACACGAGCAAGAGGAAGAACAGGCATCGGGGGTCCCGGTAAGGGACTGCGCAAAGTTATTTGGAAAGGCGGTTCCCACAAGATGGACATCACTAATTATGGATCCTGTCCTAGGGCTTCGCCCGTCCAAGTGCTGAAGCGATATTTCGTAATTCCAGATGAAGGCTTCTTGAGACGAGTCCTAGTGAGGAAGGATACGTTGGTCGACGAGTGGGCTCCACATCGGTCCCGTGTGGCATGGGGCATGGTTGCCTTACCAGCTCCCATCGGTGCTTCCCAGAAGGCCAGCAAAACGTATACCTGTATCTGTTAATGGCCGGGTCGTGCACTACAACATGAGGTGTGCCCTCGGCCAGGCCCACCAGGATACGGCGGCGGCATTGGATGAGGAACGTCTTCCTGGGGCCCAGACCCTGGCGCATTCCTTTTTTTTTCAAGGCGAGGTGGATGGCCCACGTTTGGCCCACGTTTGGCCCACGTCGAGACCCTGGGTTCCTTATCGAAGATACCCCTATCTAAAACCTCCACCGTGTCTGAAGGGACAAGCCAAAGCTCTCGGGCCCTCGTCGGGGCTCAGTGCATCGTGAGCTCAGACAAACCATGCGCAGTCACCCTACCAAGGTATATACCAAAGCTCCGAGTCAGCAGCTCGGCCGTCTGGTCCCGCGTCTCGGCATGCGAAAACCTGAGAGTGCATCCGCGCACCTCGCTTTGCAATTGTGGCGACATGGGGGGCTGCCGCTGGCTAACAACAAGTCGTGGCCAGACAGGCCCTCGCGAGACTGATGAGCGGACACTTTGAGCACACGAATGTGGCCATGCCCTGTGCCCTCGTCTGTGGTATGAACTTCGGACCATAAGTCGCAACGGACAGCGCTTCCTATTTATGTCTGGCCTTGTGGGCTTAAACCATGAGTCAGCTTCCCATTAGCAGTCAGTGTAGAATTCCGCTAAGCTCCGAGGGTTAGGACAACATATTCGACGGTAAATTTGAGAATGCATGCAGCTCGGCTGCAGGCACAAGAAGAGGGAGAGAGCCACACGCTCCAACTTGAGCGCGGTATTAGGCGCCACGGCATACGACTCCCCAACTACAATTGGTAGCCAAACGGGAATTAGCATCAAATGCAGATTCATCCCCGAAAGCGGGGGAAGTGAATGCACACTCCTGGGGCCCAGGACGACCCATTCGTGGGCGAGCCCATGGAGGGGAGGGGTAAGGATGTAAAAAGGATCGGGCACAAGCCCGCCACCCCAAAGAGGGCTGTCAGAATGCTGAGAGGAAAAACCCGCAGAAATTCATCGTGATGCGGGAGTCCTGCACGAAACATCGATGTCACACTGCACTCAAAACATGCAGAGCACAGTGGGCATGGCCTTGGCGGCGCAAAACCTTCGACAGCAGAGCACGGAGCGATATCTTCTGATGCGTACCAGAATCTTCAACGCCGTCATCGTTTAGAAGACGAATTGTGAGGCTGAAGAGGAGAGGGAGTTCAAGATGAGACATTTGCACGTGTCGTAAAGAACCCTGCGATCACGACCAGCGCAACGCATGTTGCGAAACTGTGCGCAACATCACGGGGAGCGAAATCCGTGGCCAGAAGGCGGTCGCCAATGACCCACTCAGTGGGGGACTCGCAGGGCCAGTCGACTCTGAGCAATGATGTAACCACCACTGCCGCAGGTCCAGCTATATTACCCCACGCAGTAGCACGCGAGACTGGAATGCGAGAAGGGGAAGGAGGAGGAGGAGGAGGAGGAGGAGGAGGAGGAGGAGGAGAAGGAGCACTGCGAAGAGAAGAAGGAGGAGAAGGAGCACTGCGAAGAGGAGGTGGACGACGAGGACCAGGATGAGCACGATGAATGCAAGGGGGAGCACGGCGAACAGGAGGAGGAGCAGGGGGAGGAAAAGGAAGAGGAGGATTTGGGATGAGGGATTAGAAGATGAGGAAAACGAGGAGGAGGAGGGATAGCACCAGAAGAACGAGGAGGACTCGTATCAGGAGGCGGACGAGGAGGAGTGATATGAAGAGATGCAAGAGGAGGTCTTCTTTCACGGGCGTGTTGCTGCATCGTGTCTTCGTATAGGCGGTAATTCGTTCTTTTCGCAGAAGGTCGCAGAATGAGGAGGAGGAGGAGGAGGATTCGGTTCGGGGGGCCGTGGGAGGAGCAGGAGGAGCAGGAGGAGCAGCAGGAAGAGCAGGAACAGGAGCAGGATGATGATGAGGATGAAGATGACGAAGAGGAGGAGCAGGAGCAGGAGGAGGAGCGGGAAGAAGAGAAGAGGAGGAGCAGGAGGAGAGGAGGAGGAGGAGGAGGAGGAGGAGGTGCAGCGGAGGGAGGGAGGGCGAGGGCGAGACGGAGAACGACGTCGATGCGGAGCAGGAGGAAGACGACGACGATGACGAAAAACTCGACGACTTACGCCGAAGGCGCAGGCCGATCTGGAGCAGAATGACACGCGAACGCTCTTAGGGGCCACCGTGGCTTAAACAGCTCTGTTCAGCTCTGTTTGATGATACTGGGCTCTGCCTATACTTGATTCTTTTGAAAAGAGAATGCGCGCGGCAACGAGGCGGCAACGAGGTGGCAACGGGCTGCAACGTGACGCAACCTCGCCGGAACTACCCAGCGCACGAGGCGGCCACGAGGCAGCAACGGGCGGCAACGTGCGGCAACATGGCGAAACCTCGCCAGACCTACTTCGCACGAGGCGGCAACGATGCGGCAAAGGGCGGCAACGTGGCGAAGCCTCGCCAGACCCACCCAGCGCACGAGGCGGCAACGAGGTGGCAACGGGCTGCAACGTGACGCACTCGCCAGACCGACCCAGCGCACGAGGCGGCAGCAAGGCGACAACGGGCAGCAACGTGGCGAAGCCTCGCCGGACCCACCCAGCGCACGAGGTGGCAACGAGGCGGCAATGGGCGGCAACGTTGTGAATTCTCGCCAGATTTTCCCAACGCTGCAACGAGCGGCAACGTGGCGAAACCTCGCTGGACGCATCCAATCCCTCAGAAACGCAAGTAAGAACACCAAAGTGCAAGCACTGTTGGGGAAACAGACGCGTTAAATACCATTAGCGGAACTGCAGACTTTCTGCCCGCGCGCACGTGCATGCACATGCTACAATCTTGGGAAACACATATGGTTTTAGCAGTCTTGTCCAGATCCCGCATTCCCATTCTACCACGCGGTGAATTTTCGTTGATCTGGCGTGCGCGCAGCGCACGAATCCTTATGACATAACACCGTGCGGGTCACAAGCGCGCACCGCCACGCTCGCGTGTCGAAATCCTTCCAGAACCAGTGGTTCTGGGGTTCTGGAAGCACTTCAAGATAGAAGTCTTCAGAAACATTAGACGATCACAGTAGTTGTTCAAAAACAATATTGCCAGATTTCTTGAACTTCTGCGCGGGCGCACTTTCCCATCACCCTGACCAGCGCCGTCGCATCGCCGTCGTTATCTTCACCGCCAATTGCAACCATTGCCTCCGTCATCCGCACAGGAGTGCCCGCGTTCCAGCGCGGCCGCAGAGACGCGCTAACAAGTTCCAATCGGGAATCGCAATCGTGGCTGAGTGGGTTTCGCCAAACAAGTTGCGGGTTGGCGGGTGGGACGTCTGCACGAGCAGTAGGGTTGGCGATTTCAAGGCGGTGGAAGTTGTTTGCACCGCATATGTTTCACCTCATAGGTCAGACAACACAGCTTACACGACACAGCTTTCGCAACGTCGATCACCGCATAGTTTCCACTCCCGCAGTGAAATCATGCACTGTCTGGGGACCACGCTGGCTAACATTCTCGAGTGGAGCTGTCATGGGTGAGCGTGTCGTTGTGCCAAAATGCGTGGCCATGACTCGCCATGTGTCCTTGCCATTTGAGGCCCAAAGACCTTGTCAACACATTGATTCATACAACCCCCTGCTCTTGTGCTCCCACGGCGCAACTCTTGCACGACTGGTCAGTTTCTCATGCCGCGATGTGTGTCCATGGTTTTTGTTCCAGCTCATGCCCATGCGTCATCATGCTTCGTACAATAGGTCTTCTGCGATACACTGCATATTCGTGCGACTTTCGATGCCTCGTCTTATATGCTAACTGTGGTATCCCAATGTATGACGACTATTCGCTGCGCATGTCCCTGATTTTCAACTCACGTATCATTATCACTAGTCGTGCATGGTCACATGCATTCATGTACTTAACTTTGGCCCTGCGGATGAAAGCGCAAGCGCGCATGCAATTGTAGGCTTACATGTTCTGCCTGAGCGCGTACTCGGTAGTTGGCGATCCGAGCAAACAAGCACACACACAAACACACCCACACACAAGCCAGAAGATCAGGGGGTGGAGGTGAGCTTAGCTCAAACAAGCATACATTGAAGTCTAGGCACGCTCGTATCTGCAACCGCAAGCACAGGCGATCGCAAGCAGGCAAGCACGCGAGCAGCATCATGACAACGAATGCGTAGTCCCAGATATCTGGCAGCCATCTGGCAGCAAACGCAAGTAGGCGCAATCGAGTGGGATCAAATACATATGCACTGAAAATAATACACTTGTAAGCTTGTACAAGCAAGTGCGAGAACTCGCATGCAATCATAATCAAGCGCGCGAGTAAACACACGAAGTCGCACGTAAGCAGACAAGCAAGACACTAGCACGCATTAAACAATCCCAAGCCCGTAAGTAGACGCAATCATGCGCAAGCAAGCCAGCAAACAACAAACCACGCGTATGCCAGTAAACGCGAGTTCTCAAGTTTGCAAGCTCGAGCAAGCCAGCAAACAAGTGCCATCGGGAAAGTACGCAAGCAGGCAGCGGGGAAAGCAGGCAAACTGGCGATCAGGCTTAAGCAATCAAGCAAGAAAGTCTGCACGCTGACAGGCAGGCAGCTTTGCGTACCAGCCAGCCAGCAAACGCGCATGCACGCTGCCAGCATTCGAGCACAATCGAGTGCAGCCAAGCAACGTAGCGAGGAATCGCAAGCAAGCACAAACAAGCACACGTAAACCAAGCAAACAGGGTTTTGTTGTGCCATGATCGCCGGTGCGTGCGTGGCCCTCTTGCCGTGCTCCGCTTGGCGTAGTTGCGCCTTTCGCCCCTCAGATTTCGTCGTTCTCCATTGCCTCGCCTGTGACCTGCCCTGCTGCAGGCTGAGCTTCCCTCCGTCCTTGTCACCACGCCGTCGTCGCTGGTGGCTCTGGTGGAGCAGCGCCGTGGCACCATGCAGCCGCTGTCCGAATCGCTCAAGGTCCTCGTGGTGGACGAGGCTCCGGGGAGGCAGCGTCGAAGGCGGGCGGATCAAGGTCGCTTTAGGGAACAGGAGGAGGCAGGCACAAAGGGGCAGGTAGTAACTGCAGCACGAAGCGCCAGATTCGGAAAAAAGCAGGGGATGAAGACGACGAGGATGCGAACGACGGTGCTATGCGTTTGGAAAGGAAGAATGCGGCGAGGAGAAGGATGAGGAAGACGAGAAGGTGGACGCCGAACACAGTGAATATGATTACGTTGGCGACGATGGCGACGAGGACGACCTCGTCGACGGTGACCATAAGCGGAAGCGCAAGCGGACCACCTGTGCGAGGGGGGAATCCTACTCAGGTGAGCGTGGCTTATGCTCAGCATAAGCTCTCGATCAGCGTTGCGGCACACTCCGCGCGCGCCAGCGGAGGTACGGCACCAGACCCTACAACCTGCAAGCGGGTCTCCTGGGACGGGTCCCAGAAGGAGACCGGCCCGGAGATCAGGAGACTGGCACTGCAAACCAAAACATATTTTCATATTTTCGCGTCCGTTGGCAGGTGGAGGAGCAGCCAGGGCAGAAGAGGACGACGCGACCGACAGGAGAAGGACGAGGAAGACAAGAGGGAGGAGGACACGATTCTTAAGTTGCATGCGGCTGAAATTCGTATGCCACCTCTCTTGGGCAGCTGCTCTGTGGGCCCCGGGGCAGACAACGGCGACGAGTCCGTCGTACCGATAGAAGAGGCGAGGGGAGAGGGGAAGGAGGCTGGAGCGTTCCGACGGATTCGCCCGTTGTTCAAAACGGCTGGACGCGACGGCTCTTGATCACTCTTACAATCTCGGTTGGTGACGACACTCCCCGCTTCTAGATGCCCAGATACCCACCACCTAATAAGCTAGACGACCTGTCTTCGAATCAACTGCACGCCTGCCACCACGAGCAATAATAAAGGGAAAAGGCCATACGCAACCAAAATGGTAGAAACTCCTATCACACATCATCAATCTTGCATCCCATGTTTGTTGCAGACAATCTCCTTCAGCTGCTCGCACAGGGCCTGGAGGGAGGATTCCTTGCCCCACCTAGCGGGGCCTAGCCCCGCTTCTCATGGCCGCCCTGCTTGAGGTGGCCGATGGCGGCGCCCGCCAGCGCCCAGCAGTCCGGAGTCCAGGTGGTGGTGAGGTGGACCTTCACGTGCTCCTTGTCGAACGCTCTCTCCAAGCTTGCATCTGCTTGCAGAAGTGGATGTGTGGGAGCATTTGGTCGGGGGTCTTCATAGCTGTTGCGTGCGTCGAGAGGAGCTGCATCGGCTGCTCCTCCAGGGAGGTGCTGCTCACTGCATTCATCACCCAAGCCCTCCATTTGTGAGCGTGGGGCTCGCCAGCCGGTGCCCCGGTCCTGTCCCCGCGGCGGCGGCGCAGGACTTCCTCGGCGAGCCTGCACTGTTGCGGCGAGCAGTCGCCGCGATAAGGATGACACAGAACGAGGCGGCCTGCACCGCGCGGGTTTCGAGGGCGCGCTTCAGGGCCAGCTGCGGGATTCTAGCCAGCAAGCGTAGCACGAGGTCGTCGTGCGAGTCACCTGCAGATGCGCCGCGAGTCTTGGCTGCGCCGCCATGCCCGTCCTGGTTGGGGCGCTTCTGCTTGAGGGAACCATCCATGCCTGCGCCTTGGCCCGGGATTCCGAGAGAAAAAACAGAAGCCTCTTCCGTCCATCGACGCCTTCCTGTTGCCTCCCTCGTCTATATTTATTTTCCCTCGCCGCTCCTCCCATCGTCCTTGCTCCATTTCTCCTCGCGCCTCCTACCTCCATCCACTCCTCCTTCTCCCCATCTTCCTTAATTCCCTACCTAGGCTCTGCCTAGAAGGGTTCTTACTCTCTGGGCTTAAAGGGGCCGGGCAGTGGAAAGCGCCCCGGGCGGTTCCCCCAGTATCCGCCCCGCGGTTCCCCCAGTTGCGTCCCCTTAGCTTAGCGTCGCTTATCTCATCCTAGCTTAGCTTATTTCATATTAGCTTAGCTTAGCTTCATCTTAGCTCAGGTTTATCTTAACATCGCTTACCTTCATCTTAGCTTCGCTGAGCTTTAGCACAGCATAGCATAGCTTAGTATAGCACAGCGCAGCATGGCATAGCCTAGTTTAGCATAGCATAGCATAGCACAGCGCAGCATAGTATAGGAAAGCATTGCATAGCGCAGCATAGCATGGCATAGCATAGCATAGCATAGCATAGCATAGCAACTAATGCTGCTTTCCTAGGGGCTCCAACTTCTAGGTAGGGTCGCACTGGGGTAATCGTTTTTGAGCCCATTCGTTACTCCACCTCCCTCCTTTCTCTTGTCCTTCTTGTCGTCATCTGCCTTCAATGCTCCTGCCTTCTCCAGCACCCGTCGTTTCTCGCTCCCCCATTCCACCCTCCCCCCCTCCATCTTTTCACTACGGATCCCGTGCCTGTGTCTGGCTGGAGTCTCAGCGCGCGAAGCGCGCGCGGTTCTAGCATTTAGCGTTCACAAGTGTTCGCCCATGATCTCGTGAAGAAAGTAACGGCCGCATGTAAGTAGAGCAACTCATTTCAGCACGCACGCCGCCCACTTGTCTCTTGGCATCGCTCGGACGTGTGCATTTTTCCCCGGCGAGGACCGTCGAGCACCCTGGATCTATAGCGCGCACGAAACCGAAACATGCACGGAGAATGGGCATCCGAGCGATGGCCAGGTCTCCTCCCTCGACCATCGCTTCGTTCAAGCAGAAACTTACACATGCCTACCGTGGATGGAAACAATTAGTGCGAAACGGATCCGTAACGTTGGAGTTTCGCCATTTAAAGTCCGCGGCTTCCAAGCTGGGCACGATCGACGGCCGCCGCCGAACATGTAAAACAATTCAACAACAACAAGAAACGGACCACAAGCGCAAGCTTTTGAGGCCCATATTGTCGTGGCCCGGACTGCACTCATTCTCTTTGAACGGCGGAATTCGAACGTTCTGATTTGGTTTCGCGCTAATTTCTTACATCCGCAGTATTGCACACGCAGCCTTTGATGCACTAACATGAGTGGGACTGGGCAGGCAGACCTCATGTTCTCGTTCGGCTACGAGGGCGACGTGCGAGGGCTGTGTGCGATGCTGCCATCAGCCTACCAGGCAATGCTGGTCTCCGCGACTCTGTCGGAGGAGGTGGAGCAGCTGAAGGGCCTGATGCTGCACAAGCCGGTGGTCCTTAAATTGGAGGAGCTACGGCCAGAGCGAAGATGCAGGGGGGGATGAGGGCGAGGAGGAGGAACTATGCCTCGGAAGTATGTGCGAATGGCATCGTGTATATGTGACGCTCATGCTGAAACGGAGCGCCTACAATTGCTGAGCTCGTCGCAAGGCTGTATGCTACATGTCAAGGTTGCCCTCGGTCGAATTTGACGATCAGAACTTTCTGGCTGGTTCCGATGGCAGATGCTGGCGCTCTTGTGGTCTGAATTGCCTCGGTGCGGTCCAGCCTTAGCTTGTGTAGTGTTGCGGGCGGACTTGTGCAGGTGTCCGCGTCGGACCTTGGTGGGTCTTGAAGGTATCTTCCTCCGCATTTTTCCTCCTCCTCCTCCTTTGTCCTCCTCCTCCCACTCTTCCTCGTCCCGTCTCTTGGAAGCCAGTCCCCCCAAGGGACCAGCATACGCTACGCAGGGAGCAAAGAGCCTCCCAGCAGAGACGTCAGTAATGTCTCTTCTGATCCAGCTTGCTGATGTACAAGCTCTCGACCGAATCGAATTCCAAATCCTGTTCATCCTCCTCCTCCTCATCATCATCATCCTCCTCACTCTTCATTTTCCGTCCTCCTCCCCCTCCTGAGCACCGAAGGAGCCTAGTGTCACTGGGAAGCTCGCCCAGTTCTACCTGTCGTGCCACAGGAGCCTTGCCTGATGCTTACCTGGTTCATTCCCCGCGTTCGTGCGTGCTTCCCCTTTCCCGCCTCTCAAGAAGGGAGAGGAGAAGGATGATAAGGAGGAGCCGAGCTGGGATTGGATTTAGGAGGAGGAGGAGGAAAAGGAGGAGAAGAGAAGAAGGTTAGACGAGGACGCCAACGAGGGGGAAGCTGCTCGACGGCCCTGCTTTTCCTCCCCGCTCTCCCTCCACGCCCACTCTTCCCTCCTGTTTCGTCTCCCTCCTCATCATCATGACCATGCTCCTCCTCAGCCCCACCTCTCCCCTGCTGTTGGCGATGCTCCCTCGTCCTGCTCCTCCTCCTCCTCCTCCTCCTCCTCCTCCTCCTCCTCCTCCTCCTCCTCACTTCCCACCCTATCACTCCTCTTCTCCGATCAGTTGTGCAGCCTGGTCAGGAGGTCAGCAGCCATCAGGGGCTGTGATTTTAAGAGATTCTCATCCTCCCACCCCTCTTCCATCTCAACCCCCTTCCCCCACCTCTCCCTTCTCCCTTCCCTCTCTTTCCCTTTCCCACTTTATCCTCGATCGTCGACGCCCCCCACTCCTATGCATCGCTTCTCGTCCTTCCGCCGGCACTCCAAGCGCAGCCTCCTTGTCGCTCGACAGCAATGACTGCAGGGCCTGGAGCGCGCTGCTCGGCTATGCTTAAGTCGGGCCTGTCCCTCTACAGGGGGATTATCCAAAAATAGTCAAAACATCGTCTGGGGATTATTTTTTGTTTCATCATTTTGAGCACTTTTAGGGTCTTTGTTGGGTATTTTTAATTTTTCGTCCAAAATCGGCCTGTAGGGGGACAGGCCCGACTTAAGGCTATGCAGAAGGGTGCAAGGTTCAGTATGTTCCGAGTCGGTCCTCTCGCGAGTTGGCGATTGGTTTTGCCATGGGGGAGCACCGACCACTTCGGGACCCCAGACTTTCGAGCACAAGACTGAGGCTTCCTCCTCAACTCGGCCGAATCTCAGAGCGTGAATTACCTACCCCGCTTTCGCTTCCAGGCAAAACCAAGTCATACCACGCGCCTCATAGTCAAGCGGCCTGACCAGCGCAGGCCGTAGTTTCGCGTCGCTTGGTATCTCTTGGAAGCGAGGGTGGTCAAGAGCGAGGTAGGTTGTTTGCGCCCTAGAACCAGGGGTGTGGGGGGACACGACGCGACGCTACGTGGCGATCGGTGCGAGCACAGCTCGGCGAACGCAGGGAGTGTTCTCTGATGAACCGACGGATGTCTCCGAATGCGAATTCCAGCTCGTCCCGCTTGGGCGGCAGATTGCAACATGCAAGTGGGATCACGACTGGTTGCAAGACGAGTCGCTGCCGATGTTTTTATGGGGAGTTCGAACTGAGCTGCATTCGTTGTTTTTCCTCGCCGCCGTTTTTTCCCCGATGTGTCAGTTACTGCTTCAGTTTTTTTTCTCCGCCGCCCGCTGATTTTCTGAGACAGAGTATGTTGAATAGTTTCCGGTGTGATCAAGCGGGTATCGGCCTCAGGCCTGGTCGCATCGATTGCTGCACCACGCTCATCGATTACCATGCTTAGCTCGCTGGAGCGAAGGACCGACAAGTACCTCATCCTGTACACGCTGCTCAAGCTGCAGCTGGTTCATGGCAAGACGTTGATATTCGTGGGGGGCCCAGAGCGTTGAGACCACTGCGTCTAACCCCCACCCCCATTCCCTCCACAACCTCCGGAAAAGGAAAAGAGGGGCAGGAAGAAGGATAGAAGGAGGGGCATGGAAGGCGGGGCGCTCCCTCGCGCAAGGCCCAGCGCTCATGCAGTGGCCCCCCTCTGCACGGAACCCTGGCGCTCGACCTGCGAAGGGGCCAGGGCATGATGCCCCCTCGCGCCCGAGTTATCCGGGGTAACTCGGGTCCGGGGTAACTCGGGTTTGGGTTCCCGAAAAACGAACCCGAGTTAACCCTGACCCGAGTTATCCCTGATGATTCGGGGCTCTGGACGCCCGAAATATCCGGGGTAACTCGGGTCCGGGGTAACTCGGGTTCGGATTCCCGAAAAACGAACCCGAGTTATCCCTGACCCGAGTTACCCCGGATGATTCGGGGCTCTGGCAATGCCCCCTCGCGCCCGAAGCCCCCCCCCACCCGGACGCTCCCGGGCAACGCCGCCAGCGCGTTCGCCACGGCCCCCGCGGGCCGGGCCGACGTGGGAGAGGCCCATGGCCCACGGCCAAGACGCTGAAGCCCGAGAGATCTGCACCATCAGCACCATCAGCATCAGCATCAGCATCATCATCATCATCATCATCATCATCATCATCATCATCATCATCATCATCATCATCATCATCATCATCATCATCCTCATCCTCATCCTCATCCTCATCCTCATCCTCATCCTCATCCTCATCCTCATCATCCTCATCATCCTCATCCTCATCCTCATCATCCTCATCATCCTCATCATCCTCATCATCATCATCATCATTATCCTCATCCTCATCCTCATCCTCATCCTCATCCTCATCAGCAGCAGCATCCTCCTCCTCCTCATCATCCTCAGCATCATCATCATCATCCTCATCATCATCATCCTCATCATCATCATCATCAGCAGCAGCATCATCATCAGCATCAGCATCCTCATCATCATCGTCATTATCATCATCATCATCATCATCATCGTCATCATCATCATCATCATCATCGTCATCATCAATAACAACAACATCATCAACAACAACATCAACATCAACAGCATCAGCATCATCATCATCATCATCATCATCATCATCATCATCATCATCATCATCATCATCATCATCATCATCATCATCATCGTCATGTACCGCGGCCCCGGCTACGTTGCGCTGCCTGCGTACTGCGACACTGGTGAGTGACCCATAATCCGCTAGGCGTCTTAGAGTGCAGCGAGGAACGCAGCGGACATGACTTGGTTGGGACCGCCCAGCGTACGTCCACATAGTTCGACTAGACGTAAGAGTGACCTTTCGCCGGAGTGACCTTTGGTGCGGGCCAAATGGGGTCCCCCGATCGCCGCGCTCGTTGCGATATTAGCGTCTTGCGCGCTTGTGTTTGGCCTCCTCGCGCCCCCCAAAAGCCGCGCGCCAAAGGTCACTCTTACCCAGGGTCAGACTCTTACGTGCAGCCGAATAGTAAAATAAACATACGTTGTTGGAGGTCCGCGCGGATTGCTTGGGTCGGCGCTGGACCTCCCTCGCGCGCCAGGGGCGGCGCCGGAGGCGCCGCCAGGGGGCTCCAGCGCCGACCCGAGGAGTCCGCGCGGCCCTCCGAACGTGTATGCTTATGTCACTGCTTGCCCCCCGAGAAGCCGGGGGCACATACGGAACGGTGTGGTGTAGGTGACGTACCCGATCTCCAGCGCCGACCCGAGGAATCCGCGCGGCCCTCTGAACGTTTATGCTTATGTCACTGTTTGTCCCCCAAGAAGCCAGGGGCACACACGGAACGGTGTGGTGCCGGTGACGTACAGTCGAGGTTTTATCAGAAGAAACGCTAAATAAGGAACGGAGCCCCTTCTTGGCCCCAGAAGCGCCTACGTGCACGAGGAGTGATGGACGAGGAGCCATGGAAGAGCTTAAGGAACAGCGAGCCCCTTCCGCACCCGAGGCGTTCCTTATTTCAACGTCTTGGCTGTACCCGATCAAGAGGAGCACGCGCCCGAATGAAGAGAAGAAGTGTCAGTCAGCCCGAGCAGCGGTGGCCAGTGGCTCGACGCCAAGGGCTCGCATCTGGGCAAATCTGGTCTTGCGCCGTGCCAAGGCGTTCTGTCTAGGGTCCTCCCGTGGCTTTCCCTGGCGCCTGGCGCCCCTCGTACGCCCAGGGGCCCTTGAGGCCCAGAGAGGGGCCTCCTTCCTTGCGCAGCGCTCCGTATGGCAGCAGCCTCGCTGCGGCGCGCGCGGGGGGCGCTCCGCTGCGGTCGGGAGCCTCTGGATAGCGTGTCGCTCTGCCGGTCCCGGCCCACCGCGCTTCGGCGCGACACGCGATCCACTTCGCAGCCCCCAGGCGTCAGAGCCTCGATCTTTTCCGGGCCTCCCGCCCCGTTGGGCGGAGCGACGTGCCGCGTCAAAGCCTCGATCTTTCCCGAGCCCCCCCGCCCCGTTGGGCGAAGCGACGTGCCGCCCGGTCGCAGGGCACAGCGCGTCGCCGGGGCCGCCGCCGCGACACGCGGCGAGTAGGATATATCCCGGCCCTGGGGCAGCGTCGCGCACGCGCAGGCCGCACGGCGCCGCCCGCCGGGACGCTGGCCAGCCGCACCCTCGCCACGTCGCTGCCCGCTGGCGGGCGGGGCATGCAGCGGCCCTGGCATCGCTCGGACGTGAGCATTTTTCCTTCGGCGAGGACCATCGAGGAGCATCCTTGATCATTTGGCGGTAAAGCCACGCACGAAGCCGAACAAAAACACAGGGAATGGACGTCCGAGCGATGGCCAGTGCAGCGGCAGCCGTTGCCGCGGGCGCGTCCGGTGCGGGGCCGAGCCTTCGGCGTGGTGGCCGCAGGCCCTCCTCTCGGCGCGGCTCCTCGGAGAGGATCGGCTATAAACGTAGGATTGACCTTTCGCCGGAGCGACCTCTGGGCGGGCTCACTGGGGTCCCCGGGTGGCTGAACACGGCGCGATGGCAGCGGCCTTGCGCGCTCCCGTTCGACCTCCCGGGGCCCCCGAGAGGCCTGCGCCAAAGGCCCCTCTTGCGTAGGGTCGCTCCTGCGTGTAGGCCGAGAGGAGCAGGGAGTCGTGCCGGCGATGCGTTCCAGGACCTCCGTCCAAGACACTCAGGATCCAGGATTCTCGGGATGTCCTGTTGTGCCACGCGAGCCTTGGCATCGCTCGGACGTGTGCATTTTTTCTCGGCGAGGACCACCGAGGACCATCCTGGACCATCGAGCGAAAAAAACACGCACGAAACCGAAAAAAACAGGGGAAATGGACGTCCGAGCGACGGCGAGGGGCTCCAGAAGCGAGAGCCGCCAGATGCTCTTGGCACTATTGGAGCGCGCCCCGAGCCGATCGCACCATGGCGTCATTCTCGTTCTGCGGTGCGTCGCCGGCTTCCGGAGGGAGGCCTGCCCGCCAGTCTTCCCTCGCCACCCCTCCCCTCGCTGCCCCTTCTCCGTGGCCGGTGCCTCGCGTGGTGGAGTCCCGTTTCCCTCTGTGGGGAAGCTGGCAGTTCTCAGAATTACTGCATGCCCATCGGTCGTTGGAAGGAGGTCCCTCTGGAGTCCCAGAGTCCCAGTCTACTTTCAGCGCCCTCCTGCTTCAAGGATCGAGTGGCTTCACCTTTTCCTCCTCCCGAGGGGGCGGGCGGACACCCAATCTACCTTCAACGCCCTCCTACTTCATGGCTCTACGTGCTCCTTCCCACCGGAGCACGAAGGTTCACGGAGCGAGACAGATCTCGCCCTGCGTGTGCCGCCTGCGCGGAGCCAGGGGGGGCGAGGTGGCCCAGCGCGCGGCGCCTGCGGCCCGCCTGGCTGGGCGGCCGAGGGAGCATGAGGGTGCGCAGTTGGCTGCCTGCAGGTCTGCCTGCCCTGTTCTCTCTCTCTCTCTCTTTTCCCCCCCTCGATTCCGTCTCGCGTCCGACTCCGGCTCCCGCTCCCGCCACTCGGAATGAGGTTCGCCAACGCCGCGGCCTGAGCCCTCTCTGGGTCTTCCCCCTCCTCCGCTGTGGGGCCCCGGATGCGACCGTAAGAGCGTGCACGTGGTGATGTGAACTACCTTTCAGGACGACAGTTATCGGGTCAGATCGGGTTGGGAGGATGGGGGTGGGAAACATGAGGGCACCATTACTCGTAGGCCGCCGAAGGTATCGCTCATTGCATCCAGATGCTCTTGCTCATACCCTTCATTCTCCCAACCCCGTTCTCCCAACCCGATTTAATGGTTCTCCTCAACTTTGGCATCACTCGGACGTGTGCGCCGGGCGGTCCCGGCCTGCCGCGCCGCGAGCGAGCCCGCGCGGCACTTCCGGGGCGGGGCGGAGGCGTGAGCCACGGCCGCCCCCCGAGCTCCGCTGGGGGCGGGGCCGAGGCGGCAGGCATCGGAGCGCGCCCGCTGCGGCGCACGGGGGCAGGGCGGGGGGGGGGGAGGGGGCGATGGCGGGGGGGCGGCAGGGGGGGGGGGGGGGGAAGGGAAGGAGGAGGAGGAGGTGGAGGAGGAGGCGGAGGAGGCGGAGGAGAGGACGAGGACGAGCGGGGAGAGGAGGGGAGGGGGGTGGATGGGGGGAGGGGGGAGCTCCTGCCACAGGAGCGGATCCGGGCCAGAGTGGCTGGCTCCCGGGGGTGGGCGGGGGGGGGCGCGGCGCGTCCGCTGTCGAGGGCCACGCGCGTCGCCACGACGGCGTGCGGCCGGCCAGCGGAGAGCGTCTCCGCTGCGGCAGACGGCAGAAGCGGCACGCGGACGGCAATCGAAGGGCGAAGGGCGAGGGAGGCTCACCACCCACCAGACCACCCCGACCCAACCCTGAGGCCCCAAGCCACCCCAGCCCAGCCCAGCCCGAAGGCTCCCCCCAACCCGAGATGCGGGTCTTCGGGTCGGCTTGGGCTGGTCCGGTAGGCAGTCGGAGGCCGAGCAGCGGCGGCGCTGCGCGGACGGAGCATGGCCGACGTGCCGGGCACTGCCGGCAGGCGCTCCGAGCTGTGGGGAGCCGCCGCTCCGCCGAGCCGCGACGAGGGCGAGCGGGACGGGCAGGCCAGCCACGATTGGGGGAGCTGTGGTCCTTACCCCCCTGGGGGACCCATCGATTTCGACACCCCTCTCGAGAGATCGTCAATGCGATGGGTTCCCGCAGGGGGGTAAAGACCACAGCTCCCCCAGTTATGGCTGGTCAGACGGGAGGGCGAGCTGCGGGTGCCCCGCCGGCCAGAGTTGTGCAATCGCTCGAGGGAAGCAGCACCGGCGATCCTGGCCAGGATGTCGCGGGTCCCCGGCGACGGCCCGCATGGACCATGACCAAGATCGACACCGACGTTCCGCGGTCAATCTTGGTCAAGGTCCTCGCTGTTTCCTTCCGAATGTCGGGTATGGCCAGGACCCCAGGCAAGGGGACCCGGTTAGTGGTAGGGCCCCGGAGCCCCCGAATTGGCCGGAATCACTAAACCAGGTTTGCCGCAGCTGGTGTTCTTTCGGGTGACGGCAGTTCCGGTTTTGGTAGAACGGGGCAGGAGGGCGTCCCCCAATACTCGGGGGTCCCCAAACGGGGCGGTGACCACACCGTACGGTGAGTTGGTGGGGATTCGGGGTCATCGCACAGTTTTTGGACTCGGGTCGTTCTCCGAGGACGCCTCGGGCGACTGGGGCCTCCATGGTCCCAAGACCGTGCGGTGACGGACCGTGCGGTGAGGTCTCTTGGGGTTCCGAGGTCACCGCACGGTCTGTCGCACCGCTTCGGGACTCCAGAGGTACACATCACGAGACCGGGTCCCACTGAGACCCGGCTCTGCCAACGCCCGAGCACGGCACCGTCGGTTCCACCACAGGCGTCGGCGGGATCCGGTGCCCACGGTCGGCGGAGTGGCGGAGCGCCCTGCGCAGGACCGCCTGCCGACAGCGAGAGGGCTGCCGATCTTGCGCGGCAGGGTCCGCCCCGCCCCCGCGCTACCCCCAAGGGCGGGGCGGGCACACCAGACCACCCCAGCCCAACCCGAAGGCCCAAGTTTATCCTCGATTTCCAGTGGGGGGGGGGGTCGTGGAACATTTAGAAAACACATGGAACCCGTACCCCCCCCCAACCCGAAATTCGGGTCAAATTCGGGTCTTCGGGTTGGGTTGGGGTGGTCTGGTAGGTACTCAGGACAGGGCCGGCGGGCCAAGAAGGGCTGCAGACGGGCGGGCGTTTCGCACGGATGGGCGTCCGCCTGAGATCGCGGCGGCGCGCGCAGGACCAGGCAGGAGAGCCCAGGATCGAATCGATAAGTCGGATCGGCGATCGAAATGGATCGGACCGGCGTAAATCGGCAGCCAAGTCGGGAATAGTCGAATCGGCGGACATCGGCCCTTCCTCGTCCATCGAGGCTTGGATTGTGGAAGCCGTTTCATGGAGAGGAAGCAGGCTGACAAATAATCTCCAGATGTCTAAAACATATTTCGAACATGTTTTGAACATGCAAAAAACATGTTTGACACGTTTTTAGAACATGTCTTGCACACTTCAAGCACATCGTTAATTCAATGATAGGATTGTTAGAGTGTCCACTGTCATGGCATCCACAAGGCTTGGACGTGCCATGCGCTGGGGGAACAAACAATTGAGCGTGCCACGCGCTGGGGGAACAAATAGTTGCATGAGCACAAGAAGTCTGAGGTCCGCGCGGATTCCTCGGATCGGATCTCTTGGATTGGCGCTGGGCCACCCCCCCGTCCGCGCGCCGGGGAGGGGGGTCCTGCGCCGACCCCAGAGATCTGCGGAGACCTCCGAGTTTTTATGTCTATTGCACAGTTTACAGTGTACTCCCCTGATGGTCGACGGCCGTGCGAGCGGAGCTCTGCCAACCGCGGGCGTCCCCCTGGGCGCTCTCTCCCACTACCCCTCTGCACGCTGGCCTTCAAGGCTTGCTGCTTGGAGGTCACAATGGACGCGCAAGAGGGGGCGGGTCCGCGGGGTCTTGCCACATTTTCAACATGGGGCCGGATGGTTTCTTGCGACGTGCCCTCCTCGGCTATATGTAAGAGTGATCGGCGATGAACAAGCCTCCCTTTAGTAAACCTCCCCTTAGTGAAAACGGCCTAGGACCGAAACCAACGGACCTGGACCCGCAAAAATGACGGCTGCGTCCCCCTCCTCCCCCTCCCCCCCCTCCCCGCCGAAATCGACGTGTCAGGGTAGGAGGTCTATCATTCTCCGAAGCGACCTCTCGCCGGAGTGACCTGCGGTGCGGGCTCACAGGGACCCCCCCCCGCACCTGGCCTGCGCGCGTGGATCTGGCCTGCCCGCGGCCCCCTGAAGCCGCGCACCAGCTCACTCTTGCCGCTTGCCTGGGGTTAAGTCGGGCCTGTCCCCCTACAGGGGGATTTTCGGCGAAAAATTAAAGATACTCCAGAAATGCTCCCAAATCGCCGAAAATATTTTAAAAATAGTCCCCGTATTATTTTTTGACTATTTTTTAAAACTATTCAGGAGTGTTTTTTGAGTATTTTTTTCCGTCGACAATCCCCCTGTAGGGGGGCACGCCCGACTTAAGCCTAGGGTCTTTCGTGCGTGTGGCCTGCCTTCTCTGGAGCCGCCCTGCAGGCGCGGGTTGGAAAAACACCCGCGTCTCCCGCACCCGATAAAACGACGCGAAGATCGGGACAAAATCGGATCGGGATAACTCGAAATCTCTGAGAATCGGCGGGTCTGGAGGATGTATTGGGCGCCGCGGCCGCTCCAGAGCGTGCCGGAACGCTCTGAGAGCGCTCCGGAACGCTCCGGAGCGATTTATCCCGATCCTACAACCCCGTGCGAAAAGCAACTGGGGTTTGGTGAGCCCCCCGGCCCCCGAATTTCAATGTTCATCGTGCGACCAGCGAAGTTCGAAAAAAAAATCGACCCCGCGTTGAACATTGAAATTGGGGGGTGGGGGGGGGAGGTGTGTACGAAAACCCCAGTTGCTTTTCGCACGGGGTTGTAGCCCTGTTTTACCCGATTTTGAAAAGCCTTCATGCTCCCTCCGATCCAGGTCGGCCCAGAGGTGGCCCTGACCTCTCGGTCGGCCTTCGGCCGCGGATCGTGGGCCCCTCGTTTCTCGATCCACGCTCCGTGCTCGAGCGACCTACCGTTCCGATGTCAACCACGCCCGATTTCATGGTAGCCGATCCCATGAGGATGCTCGAGCGACTTATCCTTCCCAATTCCACCACGACCGATTTCATGGTAGTCAATCCCACTCGGAGGATTTCCAGTCATTCCGATGCTCGAGCGACTTATCCTTCCCAATTCCACCACGACCGATTTCATGGTAGTCGATCCCGCTCGGAGGATTTCCAGTCGGCAGGCTGCCCCGCTTTGGGAGGGGCTGGGGATCGTGACCACGGCGCGAAGGCAGTCCAAAATAGGCACTGTGAGGGTAAAGAGAAGGACAAGGAGGTCGTGGTTCAGTCAATTACCTGCCGTCAACTGAACCCAGGTCAAGAGCATTGACGCGGCGTACAGGCTGAAGATCTTCCTGGAGCGTTTCTCGATCAATTCCGCGGTTCTGAACGCGGAGCTGCCGCACGCCACTAGGCAGAACATAATCCAGGTGTGCACCCGCGGCCGCTACGGCTATCACTCCTCCTCTTTGTCACCCTTCCTTGAGAGCACCAAGTGTTGTAACATGCCCGACGGCCCTCTTGACATTGATCGTGCCACCCGAGTCGCCGCCGAGCTTGCGTTGCGTCGCCACATGGCTAACGGGTGTTAGTGCGGTTGGTGATTTTCCCGGATTCTGGCCAAATGCGGCAGCTGTCTCCGCCACCGATAATGGCCCAATGCCGTGGAATCTGCGCAACATCATCTGGGCATCCAGACCCGTGACACGACACCGCCGGTCTCCGCACCTGCTCGGGGCAGATGTCCCGGCGGGTCGTGGCCGAAGCAGGCCTCTCCCCCACGAGCGGCGAAGACGGGAGGAAGCGCTCCGCTGCTGACCCCGTGTCGCTGACGAGGGAAGTGGCCCGAGGGTGCCGACGGAGTCAGCCACTGATGACCATCGTGAGGGTACAGGCGGCCCGGATTAGTAGGTCGACCCTGCCAATCAAGTCCTCTCGCGTGTCCTCCTCGCGTGTCCTCTCCCATCAAGTCCGACTGGATTCCTCCCTGTCCGGCAGCAGATCATGGGAGCCCGGTGTGCCCTCTCAGTTCCGTCCTTAGCGGCCAGCGTCGATTAGCCCGTGAGGTAGCGCCGATTTGGCGCCGGCTGGCGTCGGTTAGCGTCGATTTAGCGTCGACGATCGTCGATTCGCAAGAGCCGACAAGATGGTACGGGAGGCTCCCAAGAGTTGCCACCGAAAGCCACTGATATCCATCGTGATGATCTTGCATGAGTGATGGCTGACATGTTTCGTTTGGTGGTTCTGCCATATCCAGTGGTGCTGCCGCGCATATCCGCCACCTCGCTTGTGGAAGCGATGTAGCGAGGCAGCAGCGGGACGAGGCAGGCAAGGCAGTTGTGGGCCAGAGTCTCCCATACCATGTCGGCCCCAGAGGGCGCCAAGATGGCCCCAGAGGGCTCCCGCAGATTAGAGACCTGCCCAGAAAGTCCAAGAGGGCTCAAGAATCCTGCACGGGGCTTCCAGCAGGCTCCGAACCAATTCTCTAAATTGGTCGTAAGAAGCCCTCAAAGAACCGAGAGAGCCCCCAGAGCCCTGACGGCCCACAAAGTCCATCACACGCATGAGGCGGCAGACTAGGTCGAGTGACCAACACGGCAGACCAGCGTGACAGGCCATCACCATGAATTGGCTTTGGCAGGGTCTCCGAACCAACGTCGAACGAAGCGTTCAGAACTAAGCGTTTTGGAATAATTTTGGTGGCAGTTTTTTTGGGGGGCGCTCGTGACGTTCAGAACTAAGCGTTTCGGAGACATCTTGGAGGCAGTTCTTGGGCCTCTTTGGGAGCGTCTTGGTGGCATCTTGGAGGCCTCTCGGGGGCGGCTGAAAGGAAGATTTTGGGTCTCTTGGGGACCTCCCGGGGGCCTCTTGGGGCATTCTGCTGGGGGCGTCTTGGGGCCAAAGGCTTGATTTGATGTTTTTCCCCCCTCCGAGCCCTCTCTAGAGTTCGTCAAGACGGCCCTCTTGGGCCGTCTTGGGCGCCCTTTGCGCCGGGGCCTTTTCTGGGCCGTCTTGAAGCGCTCTTCGGGGCTTCTTGGGCCGTCTCGGGGCGATCTTGTGGGCCTCTTGGGCGGTGTTGGACGCTGTGAAAGCTCAAGGGGCAAATCTGCTACAAACTAACGCTTTCCGAAGAGAATGGGACGATTTGTGCCTCTTGGGGCCCGCTTGGGAGGCCTCTTGGGGGCCTCTTGGGGCGTCCTGGAGGCTTCGAGAGCCATATCGGGGTCATTTTGATCCATGGAACCTCCTTGCCCACACTTCGCATTTGGGGCACATGTTTTGCGTGGACGGTCAAAACAGCAGGGGCGTGGTGACAAAAATGAGCGCATCTTGGGCCTTGGGCTCGATGCGTCAGGGGGGCCGAATTATTGTTCCGCAAAAAGCCGAAATGTCCCACCCCCACACGCACAAACAAACAAACAAACAAACAAACACACACACACACACATACACACCACACACACACACACCACACACACAACCACAACCACACACAACCACACACAGCATTCACATACACATACACACATACACACATACACATACACACATACACACGCACACACATACACAAACACATACACATGCACATGCACATATACATGCACATACACATACACATGCACACAAACACGCACAAACACACACAGACGCACTTACCCACCCACACACTCAACACTCAAACACACACACACACACTCACTCACACACTGACACACTCACACACGTATACACTCACACACGCACACACACACACACTCACACACTCACCCACTCACACATGCACACACACACACACTCAAACTCACACACTCACACATTCACACTCTCACACAGACGCACTCACACACTCACACACTCACACACTCACACACTCACACACTCACACACTCACACACTCATGCACGCACACGCACGCACTCGCACACATTCACACACACCACACACATACCGCTGCAAGCTCGTTGGCGGATCTTTGAGAGTCGTCAGCTTGGACACGCGTCTGCAACCTCCAAGCGTTTTGCTGTGTACCCGCCAGGGGGAAAATGGGAAATGGAGCAGACAGGATTGGATGGGGAGCGACGCAAGAAGCGAGGTGCCATGTGCACCCGTCCGCAGAAAGACATGTCGGCCGCATCGGCCAGCCTCCTCCCAAGGCGTTCAACCAGAGCTTGGTGGAGATCCTGATCGCCACCGACGCTGGCCTGGCAGGCGACGACGCCGCCGACGCCGAGGCCGACGCCGAGGCTGAAGCCGAGGCCGAGGCCGAGGCCGAGACCGAGGAGGACGCGACGACCGGGGCGGGAGCTGCACTGGTCATCGCGCCCCTTTCCGCTGCTACCCCAGACGCCTCGCGGCCTGGCCCCCCCCCTCCCCCGACCATCTGCGTGTGGAGAGCGCCCCGCGGCCGCTCTCGTCTTTTCGAGCCGCCTTCGCGTCCCGTGCCCGGCGCGCCCCTCCTCCTCCTCCTCCTCCTGCTCCTCCTCCTCCCTCCTCCCTCCTCCCTCCTCCCTCCTCCCTCCTCCCTCCTCCCTCCTCCGTCCTCCCTCCTCCCTCCTCCCTCCTCCGTCCTCCCTCCTCCCTCCTCCGTCCTCCCTCCTCCCTCCGCCGGCACCGACCCCCGCGCCTGCCACCGCCGGCGCTGCCGAGGGAGAAGAGGGCAGAGCGCCAGTGGTGCGCTTCGCTCGCCGAGAAGCGCTTCGCCCGCCGAGGCCCCTGCTGGTAAGTCGGGCCTGTCCCTCTACAGGAGGAATATTCAAGGATAGTCAAAAAATAGTCTGGGGACGATCTTTTTGATTTTGTTTCCCCTTTCGGGGGGCATTTTTTGGGTACTTCTTGGATTTTTCGCCCAAAATCCCCCTGTAGGAGGACACGCCGGACTGAACCCTGCTGCTGCTGCCCTGCCTCGCGCGTCTCACGCGTCCCCGTGTCCCCCCAGGAGGGGCGACGGGCGGATGCCCGACGCCCCGCCGCAGAGGGCTGCGCTGGCCGAGGCCCCTGCTGCTGCGTTCCTGTCACGCGCGTCCTTGCCTCGAGGCGGCAGGCGGAGTTTTGTCGGAAACTGGAACATATACATTACCAGTGGCGGGCTCTCTTTCAATCCCAGGACTCTTTGAGGGTCGGGGACGACGTCGGGGTGGTGTGGTGTATACTTTTTCCCCGTCTCCCACGGGAAGCAACGAAACATGTATACACCAGGACCCCACATGCACCAGGACCCGCTCTGTTGTGAGAGCTTCAGCGCAGGGCCGGAACATGCGTCGGTGCATAGAGTTCGGTTCCCTATTTTGGCTCTGCGGTGTGGGGGGAGGGCAGGGGCAGCCTACCCGGCACGACCAGACGCCGCGAGCGGCGCGGCGGCCGAGGAGGGCCCGGCAGCGGACCTGCCGAGAGGACTGCTGCCAGAGGGGGCGCTCCAGCAAGGGCCTCGCCTTCGAGGGGTCGAGGGGTTGAGATCTCTGCCTCGCAGAGGAAGGCGGAAGGCCCGCGGAGGGCGGCGGAAGTGGAGCGAGGCCGCTTCCAGCTGGCGGGGGCCGGCGGAAGTCAATAATGCCCCCCGCCCCCCCAAAAGACATGCCATTTGTCTTGCATTCAGGGCTCCTGGAGCGAACCACGTGGGGACGTGCACCCCCGTTTCACCCCGCCCATGTCGGGCTCCTGCCGCTCATGTCCTTCGTCATTTGCGCGCGCTCTTGCGAGCGCGGTAGCGCGCGCGCCGGGGGGAAGGAGAAAAGGAAGAGGAGGAGGAGGAGGAGGAGGAGGAGGAGGAGGAGCAGGAGGAGCAGAAGGAGGAGGAGGAGGAGGAGCAGAAGGAGGAGGAGGAGGCGCAGTATAAACCCAAAATGCATCAACGATGTTGCAATAAACCCTCCCTCCCAGCTCTCTCCTCGCGGGGCCCTATATGCAAGTAGGGTACCCAGAACCGTGTTGGCACCAGTGGGTACCCAGAACCGACCAACGGCAATGGCAAACACATCATCAGCTTCGTAGCCGACACCGTCATCAACACCACGAAGGATCCAGGCAACAACTCGTTTACGCATATCGGATCGAAGGGGCAGCGCCACAGGATCGACTACATCCTGCTGAGCTCCTCCATCGCCCCGTACGTCGCGAGCTGCAGCACGGAGCCAGGTCTTGACCGAGGCACAGCTGCACAAGACCACATACCAGTACCCGCCACCCTCAAGTGGGCCGTCTGCAAGACCACCAAGGCCTCAGGACCGCGGCCCGATCTGACCAACTTAAACAACGATGACGCCAAGGCCAGCTTTAAGGAGATTCTCAAGCAGGCCCCGATCATCCCCTGGGAGGTGGACGTCAACACCCACTGCGAGGAGGTCACCAGAGTCGTCAACAACGCGGCCATCCAGGCCTTCGGCAAGGCCGTCAAGGCAGCGAGGAAGCCCTACGTCACCAAGACTACCATGGGCCTAATCCGAGCCAGGCGCCTCACACTTCGAGTCCATCGCGCAGTGCTCAGAGGAGAAGCCCATGACGACCGACCTGGACGACTAGTAGCCCACGCCCACTCTCTTCTTGGAGGCGAGGTCGGGGCCTCACTGGCCCAGTGGAGCAGAGAGCGTGGCGACGACGATGGCACCATCCACGACATCCACGACTACGCGCACCTCCTCCTGAACTGGACGATCTCGCCCATGGTCTACGCCATGGCCATCCTCTCCTTCCTCACCAGGTCTGGGCTGCTCGTTGCCGCGGCCGTCGAGAAAGACCGTAGTGCCTTCCTCAGCCGGCTTGCCTCAACTGCGTCCTCCGCCTCCGCTGCGAACGACGCTGCGGCCCAGTGGAAGGCCTACCGCGACCTATTAAGGTATGGCGGGAGGAAGGCGAAGTTCCCAGCAGGAAAGCCGATGAGGCTCGACAAGGATGGAGAGGTGATCCACAACTCCCAGGACATGGCGGACCAGGAGCTCAACCATTTCGCGAAGATACAGGCGGGCAAGATCGTGACAGCGGATGATCTCGCCAACAAGTATAACCATGACAGCAAGACCAGGCCCTTCGACGGCATGCTGGATCTCTCCATGGTGATGCCCCTGGCCGTCTGCCAGGCCCAGTTCGCTGCGGCCAAGACTGGGACGCAAGGAGGCCCTGACGGGCTCACGAACGCCGTCCTCAGGGCGGCCCCTACAGAGGCAGCCACTCTACTGCGCCCCCTCTTCACCAAGGTGGCGACCACCGTACGGGAGCCGCTGAGCTTCAAGGGCGGGGACCTGGTCGCAATCCCCAAAGGAAAAGGCGACCCGCGATACCTCCTAGCGTACCGCGAGATCCTCTTAAACAACGTCCTGGGCAAGCACCACCATAAATACCTGAGGGCCATGCTCAACACTACCCTCGCCATAGCGCTGGAGGACATCCAGGTTGGCGGCCGGCCCAAGCGAGGGGCTGACATGGCGGTCCTAGCAGCGCGCCTCTTCACAGAGAGAAGCCAGGCCCAAGGGAAGTGCTCCATGATCAGCTGCTACGACTGAAAGGAGGCCTTCTACTCGGTTGTCGCCCAGCTGGTCCACGGCATCGCAGGCGAGGAGGACGAAGTCAAGGAGGTGCTGGACAACCTAGAAGTTCCCCTATGGGCCCAGCCACAATTGGAGCACCTCATGGCCAACCCAGGGATGCTCGACACAGTGTTGGACGGCTCCCACCTGGCTGCCCTCATTGCAGAAGGGTATCGCAACAGGTGGACATCGCACAGGTTCTCCCAGAACTTCATGGCGCCGCACAAGGGCACGAGGCCTGGCGCGCCCCTAGCCGACGCGGACTTCAATCTGCTCTTCGGCCGAGTCCACCGCATGATTGACAGCTACCTTGCGCGGCGAGGGCTAAGAGCCCAGGGCAAGCCCCTAGGGAGCAGCTTCGCATGCGACACCGACCCAACAGACGGACCACTCCAGGAGCACGAACCTCACGGCCTATCGTTTGTCGACGACCTCACAGGCATGCACGTGTTCACCAGCCCCGATCACATTCAGTCCGAGGCCACGGGGTTCTGCGAAGCCGTCTACTGCGCCACCAGCACCTTCGGCCTCCAGCTGCAACTCGCCAAGACCAAGGTGATGATCGACTTCAGTGGGCCTGAGAGCCGGCAAGCTCGGGCCAGCTTCTATTCCAATGGAGTGCCGAGGATCGAGGTCCCTCTCGCAGAGAGCCACGTCGAGGTTGTCCGCCACCACAAGCTCCTCGGGACCTACGTAACCGACAATGCATCCCCTGGGGTGGATGTCGCAGTGAAGGTAGCCACCGCTGCGACACCCACGAGGCCTCTCCATCGCGAAGTCCACCGTCGCTCAGAGCTGGCCATCAAAGACAAGGCCTACCTAGCCGACAGTGTGGTGCTACCTGGCCAGAACTCACAGCAGGCCAGGCCAGGAATTTCAACAACCAGTATATCGTGAACTACGCTGCCGCGCAGAGGATCACTTGGAAAGCACGACAGAAGAAGGAGGTCACGAACACCCAGATCCTCGAAGGGGTCGACAAGCTGCCCCCCGAGATAGTCCTACGTCTTGAGCGGCTACGACTATTCGGTAGATGCCTCAACTGGGGACCCCTGCACCTCCGCCGACTACTCAGCCAAGCATGGGGCGGGAGTTACGGCTGGGTGGCACTGCTCCGCCGCGACTTAGACTGGGTCCGCGACCACACAGGACCTGACGAGCGTGGTGGAGCATACACGCTCGAAGACTGGAAGGACTGGGCCAGGAACGACTACAAAAGCTACCTCAGCGCAGTCAAGAAAGCTTGCCAACGTGGCAAAGCCCGCCAGTACGATCACGACCACCACGCTCGATGGCGGCTACGACTCCAGCGGTGGACCAACACGGAAGCCATCTCGCCCTTCCCAGACCAGCACTTCGAGCAGCAGCGCAAGTACCTACGCTACCACTGCGGACGTACTGAACTCAGCGCAGCAGTGCTACGAGCCCACATCACCAAGGACCACACCTCGTCGTGGCATCCTATCTCGTGGGCAACTGGTTCGGTCTGCTACGGATGCGGCATGGACTACCACACCACAACCAGGCTGGTCAAGCACTTGCTGCGTGTGCGCAGGTGTGCTCGACACTGGCGAAAAACACGTCCAGCACTCCTCAGCAAAGCCGAGCTGCAGCACAACCAGCAAGTGGTGCGCGACCAGCAGCAGGCGAACAGAAGGGCCGGCAGGCCCATCGACTGGGCAGAGAAGCCTGCAGTCCCTGCTCGTCCTCCAGAAATACACACGGAAGAGGACAGCGACGACAGCAATGGCGGCCACTACGAGAGCCTCGAGCTCCCCTTCATCGAGGAGCCACCGCCGCCGCCAGCTGCTGTACCCAGGCCCAGGCCAGCTCGGACTCTATACGTGCTGCATCTGTTCAGCGGCCGCCGCCGAGAGGGAGACGTTCAGGATTGGTTCGACCGTATTAGCAGTCGAGCTTCATGCGACATACACATGTTCAGCCTGGACATCGCCAACGACCCGACCATCGGCGACCTGACATCAGAAGTCGCAGTCAACAAGTGGCGAGGCATGGCACAAGCAGGGAGGATTGCAGGAGTCATCGGCGGACCGCCGTGCGAGACCTGGAGCCGAGCGCGCCACCTGCCCCCCAATGACTGCAGGGGTCGCCCACCAAGACCCCTAAGGAGCAGCAACAGCTTGCGGGGCCTTCGCTACCTTTCCCGTCCAGAGATGGAACAAGCAGCGATAGGCAATCGCCTATACAGGACACAGCTGGAGCTCATGTACATGTGCCTCAACCTTGGAGTCCCAGGCATGCTCGAGCACCCGTGCGAGCCCACCGAGGAGCACTTCGCCAGCTCCTGGAGGCTCCCCGAGACGCGCCACCTCCTGGGCCAGCAGGGAGTCGAGCTGATCACATTCGACCAGTGCACCTGTGGAGCGCGTTCGAGGAAGTCCACAAGCCTGCTGGCGGTATCCCTCCCAACTCTCCGAGCGGAAATCAGCAGATTGCCTGGGGGCGGGAGGTGCTTCCACACGGCCTCCTACCACGCGGAGCTGGCGGGCATCGACGACGACGGCCAGTGGCGCACCGCGGCGGCCAAGGAGTACCCGAACAGGTTGTGCCAGGCCATCGCGACTGCACTGGTGAAGCAGATAAGGTGGCGCTTTGGCGAGTCGCCTAGCGACGTCCACGGATGGCACATCGACGACGACGTGGCCCACTTCTTCCAGCCGCTCGACCGCTACAAGACCAGGGAGATGGGTCAGGACTACCACCGTGGCCCAGCGAGGCGAGGGAGCGCCCCGACCTGGTTGGAGGAGGCGAGGGAGTGGGCCCTACAGGACCGACCCGACAAGGCAATGGGCAGGACCACCAACTCGACGGGAGCTGTTCGAGCACAGGCTGACGATGCGGATCGCGACGAAGAGCCCTGACGACAAGTACAAAAGGTCAGGACGCAAGTCCTGAGGAAGCCCCGAGTGCGAGGGAACACCTCAGGCTACGTCGCCAAGTTTTGCACGAGTTGTCAGGACGCAAGTCCTGGGGAAGCCCCGAATGCGAGGGAACACCCCAGGCACACGTCGCCACGTTTCGCAGCAGTGATGGACACGGCCGCCGTACAGCCAGGGCTCAGAGGTACCAGCCAGACCATATGCCAACTACACCAAGTACAAGTCAACGCTGCCCTGGTGAGGCAAAGGATCAAACTTCGAGACGGGCTCGAAGGGCGGGGGGGCAGGACGAGCACTGCCCGCGCCTACCAGGGGGGATGGTGAGGGGCAGGGGAGGGGGGGGGGTAGGACGCAACTACCCGCGCCCCCGCGGTCCGCCCTAGCTCGCCACCCCCACCATTCCCATGGCGGAGATGGAGCTCCCGAGCGCCCAAGGGCGAAGCATAGGGCAGCCGAGACCTTCCTCATCGACAACAGAAGAATCATTGGGCCTGGGGTTCGCCCCCACCGAGGGCACTGTGACCCCTAGCCATAGCGGGACGAAGTGGGGCCGCCAAGAACCCTACTTGAAGTCGGTGCATGGAGGCCTGAGTGCGCCTACAACCTATTCCACCTACCAGCAACAAGCCGAACCCCAACGACCCGTAACCAGCACGACAAGTACCTCAGCGTCTGAGTCGAGCACCAGGAGCCTGAGCCCCACGCAGTCAAGCAGTTCCACTCGACCAGCGCGACCGAGCCCAGTACCAAGAGCCTACCATCACCAAGCCAAACGACCACTGGATCAGCGATGCCGAGTTCCATGGAGTTGAATGGAAAAGGTTCCTCATACCGCGCCAAGTACTACCACTTCGACCAGCACGACGGTGCCGAGCACCACAGGGTCGAGGGCCAGCCAGTCAGCCACTGCTTCAACCATGTTGATTGGCCCGAGCACCACAAGCTGGCATCACAGTCACAAAGTATTGCGAGGACCAGCACTACCGAGTCTAGGACAACAGCTAGTGCTACTGGGTCAAGACATACCTGGATGACTAGTGACTGGGACGAAGGCCACAGGGTTGGGCACAGCAGATTTAACCAACAACTTCGACCAGCATGACTGAGTCGAGCACCACAAGCTCGAGGGCAACATAATCATGCTGTACTACAAGACCGAGGGCCACCACGTGGCCCAGCGAGTTGGACGAGAAGTCCTCGTCCAGTACCACCAGATCGACGAGTACTGAGAGTGCGAGGCTCTCGAGGCTCGGCGAGAGCGCAGCCGACGACGCCTGAGGGGGCCGAGTCGTCGGAGTCCCTAGGGGCATAATTTGGTGCCACCCCATTACCCCCAGCCGCTTCCTTTTCCATTTATGGTTTCCTGGTTCGGGCCTTGTGCTCGTGGGGGTAATGGGGGTGGCACGCCAGGCGCCCCTGGCCCACCGAGCTCCAAGGCCTGTGCACTGCCGCCCAGGACAGGCGACGCAGCTGGCCAGGCTGCTACCCTGGGCGCCAGCGCATCGGGCCAGAGAGCGAGTCGCAGGCCATTGGACCCCGCTCCTTCTTCTTGGGGCCCCCGCATGGAGGCCCCTTCCCCTCCCCTGGGCGGCCCCCCCCCCCCCGGCGCCGAAGGCGCCCGCGTGTCGGCCGCGCGCGCGGCTAGGCTCGGGCGCGGAGGCGCCTCGGTCGGCGGCAGCTGCCGCCGTGTTGCGCTTCAGGAATCAAACCCTTCAAGGCGCTGCAAATAGCGGAAATAGCGGAGGAGGAGGAGGAGCAGGAGCAGGAGGAGCAGAAGGAGGAGGAGGAGGAGGAGCAGAAGGAGGAGGAGGAGGAGGAGGAGGAGGAGGCGCAGTATAAACCCAAAATGCATCAACGATGTTGCAATAAACCCTCCCTCCCAGCTCTCTCCTCGCGGGGCCCTATATGCAAGTATGTTCATTCCGGTCGGTGCCCCGTTGGAAGACAACTGTGTGAGAATAGTCCGTCGTGCCCATACACCCGTCCTGGGATTTCAACGCCGTGAATCAACGTGACCTGTGCGTCCTGACAGTCCTAAATCGTGCCCGAGCACCGCTCCTGGGATCGTTATACCGTTAATCACCATGTTGCTATCGTCCTGGCAATCCTAAATCGCGCCACGACGCAATTCCTGGGACCTCAGCCATACGAGGCCGTGCTGCTGCAAACTGTTGACACGACTGCGCGAAGCTCTAAGGCGATATCCACATCTTTGGGAAGGAACCACTTTTTATCCTTGGAGCTGTTGCAAATTCTGAAGACGAGTGCGCGCGGCCCTGAAGTGAGAGTTTCATTTTGAAAACAGACCGCCCTCAATTCGTGAAGCTGTTGCTAGTTGCAGCATTCAGAATCAGAAATGGTGCGGGAGACACAGGCGAAACGCCCGGCCCCGCGTCTCGGGGCGCGACAAGGTTGATCCATTCTTTCGTGAAAAAGGATGGAGGAGGAGGGGGGGAGGAGGAAGAGGAGGAGGAGGGGGAGGCGGAGGAGGAGGCTGAGAAGAAGGAGGAGGAGGAGGAGGAAAAGAAGGATGACGAGGAGAACCATTTTGAACCCATGACGCATCAACGATGGTGTAATCGGCCCTCCCTCCAAGCCCCCTCTTTATATGTCCCTGCAGTAACGCAGGTTCATTGCGGTCGGTGCCCCGTTGGAAGACACCCATCAGATAATTGTGAACTGTGCCAAAACACCGTTTTTGGGACGATTTCAACGCCGTGAATCAACGCGACTGTTGCGTCCAGGCTATCTTAAGCCGTGCCAAAACACCACTCTTGGGACTTCAACTCCGCGAATCAGCATGACTTTTGCGTCAGGACAATCCTAGATCGCGCCGGAACACAATTCCTAGGACTTCAGCCGTACGAACTTGTTGCAGATTTGTAAGACGAGTGCGCGCGGATCTAAGGCAAGAGCCACATTTCGAAAATTAAGCGCCATCCACGTTTGAAGTTGTTGCTTGTTTAAAAGTGGAATGCGCGCGGCGCAAATGCGCAGGCCAAATATTGAAAATCGCCCGCCCTCCATCCGCGAAGCTGCTGCAACATTTTAAGACGAACGCGCGCGGCGCTAAGGTAAACACTTTTTTTGAAGGCACGGACTCGGGTTGCCGGAGTCTCGGTTCGCCGGGGCTCGGTTCGCCGGGGCTCGGTTCGCCCGACTCGGCTCGTTTCGCCGGGTTCGTTTCGCAGGGGTTCGTTTCGCTGGTGCTCGCTTCGCCGGGCACGTGGAGGATCCAGAGGGGGAGGAGGGGAAGCAGGCGGGCGGACCCGAGCGGGCGGGTCGGGTCGGGAGGACGGGACATTAAAGCATGATGCATCATCGAGTTAGCGCGCGCGAGCCCAAACGGGCGGGTCGGGTCGGACGGGCGGACCTGAACGGGCGGGTCGGGTCGGGCGGGCGGGACATTAAAGCGTGACGCATCATCGAGTTAGCGCGCGCGAGCCTTAACGTGCGGGTCGGGTCGGGCGGGCGGGCCCTAACGGGCGGGTCGGGTCGGACGGGCGGACCTGACGGGTGAGTCGGGTCGGGCGGGCGGAGCCGGGCGAATCGGGATTTGGGCCAACCGAGCTGGGCGATTCGAGCCGGGCGAATCGAGCAAGGCGAATCGAGTCCTGGTTAATCGAGCCTTGGCGAATCGAGCTGGGCGAATCGAAATTCGGGCGAGTCGAACCTACGCCATTTTGAAAAATGACCCGCCCTCCATTCCTGAAGTTGTCTTAATTTTCAAATGACTGCACGTGGCGCTAAAGCGATAATTACTTTTCAAGAAAACCTTGCCCTCCATCCGTAAAGCTGTCGCACGTTTCCGGCTTCGGGATGACCGAGGGAGTCTCAGGCGAAACGCCTGGCCCAGCCTACGCACCCGTTTGGGGGTGAGACAGGGAGGAGTTATCCATAAGGGAAGGGATGGAGGAGGAGGAAAAGGAGGAGGTGGAGGAGGAGAAAGGGGAGGAGGAGAGGGAAAAGGAGGAGGTGGAGGAGGAAAAAGGGGAGGAGGAGGAGGAGGAGGAGGAGGAATCTGGAGGAGGAGGTGGAGGAGGGGGGAGGAGGAGGAGGAGGAGAAGAAGGAAGAGGAGGAGGAGGAGGAAGAGGAGGAGGAGGAAGAGGAGGAGGAGGAAACGGATGAGGAAGAGGAGGAGGGGGAGGAGGAAATGTTAGAATGTAGCATTAAGACTAGGTGAGGAGGATGTGCAAGAGCGATGTTCGGACAGATGTCGTTACCGACGCCATTTGGCTCAAGTGAACAGCCAGTGCGCGCAGTGAGTCCTAGTGTCAAACAAACATCATCGATCCGTTATCGTGCAGGTCCTCGTCGGGAATGTGTATGGTAGCGGAAGGAGGTCAGTGGCGGCAGCTGCAGCAGCCCCCGCGCATCCGCCCGTTCCCGGATTTTTGCACGCCACATGATTGTGGATTGTGATCACCTGTTTAACCTAAACCCCGTGCGGTTCAGCGAGGTAGGCGAGGCGGCTTACAGACAGCAGCACGTGTCAATACATTTACAAACGAGGAGAGCTATGGACGGTTACTAGTGACCCAGAAAATGAACTTCATATTGTAGAGTATCGCCGACCGCAACATGCATGCACAGGGAGAAGCCAAGAAATATCAGTTGAAAACTGATCACTTGGAAGAGCAAGCGGACGTACATAAGAACGCGATGGGCCAGGCAACCGAAATATCTGAGACAGTCGCAGAGAGCAAGAACAGAACACATGGAGGAGGACAGGAACCAGTTAGTGAATACAAGCCACAAAAGAAACTCAACACGCTCGCGGGGGACACGGCCAAATGCCGTGAATGGAACGGGAAGCGGTTAACCTATGGTAAACGCACTGGCACAGGCTAGCCCTTACTATCGCGCAGCGGAATACACCAAAGCCAAGCCAAACAGGATAATGGCAGAGGAGAGGTTGAACAAAAAAACGGAGATACGACTCACAAGCCAAATTGAAGCATGTGGTACGTCTAGTTAAACGCAGCGGGAAGCCAGGTGGAAGTTGAAGGGACAGCGAGAGGGGGATTCATTGCAGGGGCACCACAAATATTGATGGTTTTTCGCGGTTACCGCAGCCATCTTACTAGTCAAAATGAGTTTCGCCATGAACACAGACAAGCCCAACAATATTAGCGATGTGGCAACGCAGTTGAAACAGTGGGCGGCACTAGTAGAAACGCTGGCACTTATGGCCCAGCATATTCGCTTAATCTACACATCAGAGTTACGACATTAAGAGCCATCGTGACGCATGCAGGCGGCTGCTTTGAGGGGTGGCATCAGGAGTGCTCCAAACACCAGACTCATTCACACAGTAAAGCTACATCAAGTTGCACGTTAAATTCAAGGACAGGGCACGCAAGAAAAGGTTGGGCGCTGACAGACATCGGGGGGAGGTAGGCGGGACCATCGAGGAGCATGTTGACATGTGGGGCGCGCGTGGGGTTGGACTATGGAAGGCCCCGTGGATGGACGGCTCTTGGTGGGCCAATGGCAATGAGAAGAAGCGGGGGCAAGACCAGGAGGCCGAAGGAGGAGAAGGTTTAGATGCCTTGAACAAAGGCAAAGAAAAACATGAAAACAATCATGCCCGCGAATTCCTGGAGAGGACGAGGTAAGAACACTTACGGCAATGGCGAATGCAAGGAAGAAGACTTCGGGCGCGAGCCGTGCGTTGAAAGAACAGCCACGAACAAAGGGAATGATTACGGCGGCAAAGGTCCAGGGGGATATGGTAGGAGAGGATTCGCCCCCGTGAGCGATCGAGAGCGCTGCGTGGTAAGAAAGGGCAAATTGCAGCCCAGCGCGCAGACAGGGGGGCGGGCGAGGAGAGAGAGCCCAGGGACACGCGGCCAGAGTTAGAGTGCCACGGAGGGCCAGCCGGCGCGCAATCCATCTCCTCGGGGCAGCCAATGCCAGCACGTCATAGAGTCGACGCGCCCCGCGACTTCCCAGGGCCAGACGGATGGGCCCAGCAGCGCGCGGCGAGAAAGAAAGCCAATTGGGCCATGAAGGTAAGGTTAGTTCAAGAATATGGAAAGAATGCTCGCGTCGCGGGCCGCGGCGACAATGGCGACCGGCAAGCGAGGATGTGCAGGAGCTTGAAGGTGGGAAAGGATTGGCCACAAATGTAATCTGTGGTGCGGTTAGTGGATGCCCCTGGCACTGGCCCTGAAGTTTATTCAGTTCCTGCGAAGGAAAATAATGGGCCATGCGAGCTTGCAGCTG